ACTAGTTGGTTTCTTATATTATGCAGTGGGCGCCGAGTTGACTGATGATGCCTACCAGTACGTGTGTTTGTACTAATACTCTTGCTATGTCTTTTGACATAGTCTGGTTGCAGGATTAATGAGGTTTCATTAGGTGAAGATGAAGAATATCTCCAGCAATTTCTCTTCTTCCTTCCGCATGATGGGAGCTGTGTCTTTTAATTATCATGTCCAGTTGTACTCTTAGTAGCTCTTGTACCTGTTTAGACTAGATCCTTAGGAGTTTTAATTACTTTACAAGTCTTAACTCAAAATTGTTTTAAAGGTTTTTAATAAACAATTTTGTCAGTATGTTATTCCATTTATTTAATTTTCCACATGTTTTAAGTTGTTGGGATATGAGGGTTCTCCTACTTAGGTGGTAGTGTGTAGGTGCCCGCACGGCTCAGTGGGTTGGGTCGTGACAGATACTTGACACCGTGTTTTAGATTATATTTTCTTTACTAGTTTTAAGTTTCTAATTTTGAAAATACTCTTTAAACTTTGTTATTTCTTTACCAAGTTATCCAGTGTTATTGTTCTAAGTATCTTAATAATACATATTAACAATAATATATAGCATGTTGACACTATTGACTTTCACGCGATTTTATGTCTGAATACAATAATGGTATCACTCGTAACATAAATTTCTCCACATCTAAAACTTAAATTCAATATCCCCGATTAAGACCAAAGAAGTCCCACCGTTACATGATAATTAGTACTTCTTGACTTTCGCACGCGCTTTTACTTCTTAATATAATAACGGAGTCACTCCTAAGTCGTAACTAAATTTCTCCACATCTAAGACTTAAATTTCTATTAATGTATGATGAGTTTGATAATACTTGAATAATTTATGCAATATGCCCAGATATTCATATTGTCAGTTGTCTAAATTCAAATTAATTTAAATAAGAATTGCTAAAAAAATGTTACTTTGAATGAAAGATTTTAATTGTGTTACTTTATAGTCTATCTAATATATTGTTGCGAACACATACATATACTGTTCATTTTCACTTTTTTTTTGTTTTATTTTTAGTTTTTCTACGATTTGTATGAATGAGATTAACAACTTAATTTTCAAATAAAAATGAGAGTTCCATTTATATTTGTGCGACACTAAGCCTAATAATTTTCTTAAATATGAGCAATCTATATTGATGGTAGTTTTCTACAATGTTAAAACTCAAATGGTTGGTGTGATGACAATTTTGGTTGTAATATTATAAGAATAATTAAGCTTCATTTTGTTTAGATTTAATAATATAAATCAGCAAGATTATTCAATATTCTACTATTGTTCAAGAGTAACATTATAACGTCTTTTGCAATTGTTTTATATTGTTGCAACATATATTATCACATGGAAAATTGTATTTTCACTTTCAAATTGAAAATACTTATATATGTATGTTGTACTAATATTCATGTCATTTTAGAAAGTTTGAAATACTTGATAGGAATACACGTGCGTTGCACGTGTCCATAACTAGTACATTAAATATGTGTGAACATTAAATTTAAGGTTATGACTTTTGCTACTTTTCCAAAGAGGTGTGACATTTTCAGTAACGTACAATAAAACCTTTGAGTGATTCGCTAACGCCAAGGTAATTTTAGGTACCAATACACCAGTGAGTAAAATCGTTCTATCCTGGGAGGATATATTCCATAAACCGTACTTGACATCGTGTTTTAGATTATATTTTCTTTACTAGTTTTAAGTTTCTAATTTTGAAAATACTCTTTAGACTTTGTTATTTCTTTACCAAGTTATCCAATGTTATTGTTCTAAGTATCTTAATAATACAAATTAACAATAATATACAACATGTCGACACTCTTGACTTTCACACTGTTTTACGTTTGAATACATTAATGGTATCACTCGTAACATAAATTTCTCCACATCTAAAACTTAAATTCAATATCCCCGAGTAGGACTAAAGAAGTCACACCGTTACATGATAATTACTACTTCTTGACTTTCTCACGCGCTTTTACTTCTTAATATAATAACAGAGTCACTCGTAAGTCGTAACGTAAATTTCTCCACATCTAAGACTTAAATTTCTAATAATGTATGATGAGTTTGATAATACTTGAATAATTTATGCAATATGCCCAGATATTCATATTGTCAATTGTCTAAATTCAAATTAATTTAAATAAGGATTGCTAAAAAATTATTACTTTGAATGAAAGATTTTAATTGTGTTACTTTATCGTCTATCTAATATATTGTTGCGAACACATACATATATTGTTCATTTTCACTCTTTTTGTTTTATTTTTAGTTTTTATACGATTTGTATAAATGCGATTAACAACTTAATTTTCAAATAAAAATGAGAGTTCCATTTATATTTGTTCGACACTAAGCCTAATAATTTTCTTAAATATGAGCAATCTATATTGATAGTTTTCTACAGTGTTAAAACTCAAATAGTTGGTGTGATGACAATTTTGCTTTTGTACATTTTGGTTGTAATATTATAAGAATAATTAAGCTTCATTTTGTTTAGATTTAGTAATATAAATCAGCAAGATTATTCAATATTTTACTATTGTTCAAGAGTAACATTATAGCGTCTTTTGCAATTGTTTTATATTGTTGCCACATATATTATCATATGGAAAATTGTATTTTCACTTTCAAATTGAAAATACTTATATATGTATGTTGTACTAATATTCATGTCATTTTAGAAAGTTTGAAATACTTGATAGGAATACACGTGCAACACACGTGTCCATAACTAGTACATTAAATATGTGTAAACATTAAATTTAAGGTTACTTTTCCAAAGAGGTGTGACATTTTCAATAACGTACAATAAAACCTTTGAGTGATTCGCTAACGCCAAGGTAATTTTAGGTACCAATACACCAGTGAGTAAAACTGTTCTATCCTGAGAGGATATATTCCATCAACCTGGGTACGTGACACCATGTTTTAAATTCTATTTTCTTTACTAGTTTTAAGTTTCTGGTTTTGAAATACTCTTTAAACTTTGTTATTTCTTACAAAGTTATTTGTTCCTCTTCTAAGTATCTTAGTAATACAGATTAACAATAATAAATTGCATGTCGACAATCTTGACTTTCACGCGGTTTCACACTTAATACAATAATGACGTCACTCATAACGTAAATTTCTCCACATCTAAAACTTAAATCCAAGGTCCCCGATTAAGACTAAAGAACTCTCACCATTACATGATAATTAGTACTTCTTGACTTTTGCACGCTTTTACTTTTTAATACAATAACGGGGTCACTCGTAAGCCGTAACGTAAATTTCTCCACATCTAAGACTTAAATCCAATGTCTTCGATTAAGAGTAAAGAAATTCTACCATTACATGATAATTAGTACTTCTTGACTTTCACGCGCTTTTACTTCTCAATACAATAACGAGGTCACTCGTAGCGTAAATGTCTCCACATCTAAGACTTAATTTAATCCAATCTCCTCGATTAAGACAAAATAAATCCCACCATTACATGATAATTAATATTTCTTGACTTTCACACGGTTTTACGTCTGAACACAATAATGGAGTCACTCGTAACGTAATCTCCACATCTAAGGCTTAAATCCAATATCCTCGATTAAGACTAAAGAACTCCCACCATTACATGATAATTAATACTTCTTGACTTTCACGCGCTTTTACGTCTGAATACAGTAACAGAGTCACTTGTAACGTAAATTTCTCCACATCTAAGACTTAAATCCAATGTCCTCGATTAAGAGAAAAGAAACCCACCATTACATGATAATTAGTACTTCTTAACTTTCGCACGCCTTTACTTTTTAATACAATAACAGAGTCACTCGTAACATAAATTTTTCCACATCTAAGACTTAAATCCAATGTCCTAGATTAAGACTATAGAAATCCCACCATTACATGATAATTAGTACTTCTTGACTTTCACGCGCTTTTACGTCTGAATACAGTAACAGAGTCACTTGTAACGTAAATTTCTCCACATCTAAGACTTAAATCCAATGTCCTCGATTAAGAGAAAAGAAACCCACCATTACATGATAATTAGTACTTCTTAACTTTCGCACGCCTTTACTTCTTAATACAATAACAGGGTTACTCGTAAGTCGTAACGTAAATTTCTCCACATCTAAGACTTAAATTCAATGTCCTAAATTAAGACTAAAGAAATTCCACCATTACATGATAATTAGTACTTCTTGACTTTCGCACACTTTTACTTCTTAATACAATAACGGAGTCACTTGTAAGTCGTAACATAAATTTCTCCACATCTAACACTTAAATCCAATGTCCTCGATTAAGAGTAAAGAAATCTCACCATTACATGATGTTTAGTATTTCTTGACTTTCGCACGCTTTTACTTCTTAATACAATAACGGGATCACTCGTAACGTAAATTTCTCCACATCTAAGATATAAATCCAATTTCCTTGATTAAGAGTAAAGAAATCTCACCATTACATGATAATTAAAACTTTTTGACTTTTACGCGATTTTTACGGGAACAGTTCCACCATTACACGACAAGCGGTGGTGTTAACTCTACTTAGTTTATAACCAAGCGTTACAAACCCAACCAACCCCGCACTCTACCCCTTCACAGTTCACACTACACAGATGAAAAAAGGAGACAAGCACGTTCTCTGCAGGGAGCGGTAGAAAGCAACAAATCAAGCCATATATTAAGCTGTTTTTGGGTAAACTCCGTTACAGAGTTTTCTCTTTCTCTCTCTCTCTTTCTCTCTTTCTCTTTCTCTCACATACAAAATAGAAAAAGAAATGAAATTATTAAGCTGTTGCTTCTTCTGTTGTTGCTCCTGTTTGTTCCAGTAGTAGTACTACTACTATTGTTGGCTATTTTTTTTTTTCTTCTGCAGTACTTAAAACTTTATTTTTGGTTGGTGGGGGTGTTTCTTTAAGGCTTAAATGTGTTGTTGGTATAACAGAGAAGAAATGTGGTGAATTTTAGCTAGTTTTGAGATGTTTTTTGAGCTAATTACTTGATTTTGAATTCTGGGTCTTCTTTTGTTTTTGGAATTGAAGTTTGATTATACTCATGGCAAGTAAAAATGGGTGTTATCAGTCTCAGCAGAAGAAAAATTCATCAGGTGAAAGTTTGTTTTTTTTTTTAAGTTTAATTTGAGAATTTTGGATCTTTTTTTGTTTTGTTGTTTAAAATGTGGGTTTTTTGTGATTTTTTTTTTGAGTTTCAGGTAAAGATGATCTGTATCATGAGCTATGGCAGTTGTGTGCAGGTCCAATAGTGGATGTTCCAAAGGAAGGAGAAAGTGTTTATTATTTTCCACAAGGCCACATGGAACAAGTAAGTTTTTTTTCTAAAAATAATAATAATTGAATTCTGGGTTTTTTCTGTTTTAGGTGAATCTGGTTGATTCAAAGCTAAGTTCTTGTTTTTGAGTTATGGAGTTATGAATGTTTGGGTCAATTATTGGATTTCTCAATTTGAGTGTATCTTTTTTGGTTATTTTTAGTTATGTTTTCTGGGGATTGTAAAATTTGTATCTTTCTCTTTTTGTCTCACTTTTTTTGGTTTTGTGGAAAAGTTGGTAGCATCAATTAATCAAGAAATGGATCAAAGAGTTCCATCATTCAATCTCAAATCAAAGATCCTTTGTAGAGTTATCAACAGTCATTTCCTGGTATGTTTACTTTTTATTGTTTCTTTGATCAGTATATTTTACATACATTGTATTCATACTTGTTAGTATTTCATCCAAAAGAAGTGATGAATTAATTGTTGGGTTCAAAGTTCAAACATTGGAAGGTGAGCCTTGGCGTATGCGTAGCTGGCAAAGTTGTCGGCTTGTCGTGATGTGACCGCCCATGAGCTCACCGATTCAAGCCGTGGAAACGGTCTCTTGCAGAAATGCAGGGTAAGGCTGTGTACAATAGACCCTTGTAGTCCGGTCTTTTCCTGAATCACGCACATAGCGGGAGCTTTAGTCCACCGGAATGCGTTTAAAGTTCACACAATTTTGTATTTGAAATGTAAAATGTTTTGATGATTGCTTGTAGGCTGAGGAAGATAATGATGAGGTCTATGTCCAGATCACTTTGATGCCAGAGGCACCAGATGTAAGAAGTTAAAATTGTTGTAGTATTCACTTGTTTATATGCATTTTATTGATCAATTTGGTTGTAATTGCTGATCTGATTTTTAGAAAGCCGAGCCGACTAGTCCCGATCCAGTCCTTCCGGAGCCTGTAAAGCCTAAAGTCCATTCTTTCTGCAAGGTTCTGACTGCCTCCGATACAAGCACTCATGGTGGATTTTCTGTTCTAAGGAAACATGCTAATGAATGCCTTCCTCCCTTGGTAACATAAGTGTGATCCTTTTGTATAGGCTAGCCTACATTTCCCCCCCTGTTTTGACAAGTTGTTGAATTAGCTCTCATGTTTGTTATACTTTGTTAGGACATGAACCAGCAGATTCCGACCCAGGAATTGATTGCGAAAGACCTTCATGACATGGAGTGGCACTTCAAGCATATATTTAGAGGTAATTGTTTTGTTTGTAGTGTGTAACAGAAGATATCAATGAAGCTTTATCTGTATTTGTAAAGGTCAAAACTCATCCGTCGTTGTTTTAATTATAACAGGCCAACCTCGGAGACATTTACTTACCACAGGGTGGAGTAACTTTGTTTCTTCAAAGAGATTAGTGGCAGGGGATTCTTTTGTATTCTTGAGGTATCTCTTTCTGGTCCTAGTTTCTCGTATGAGTATAATATTTGATTGCATTATCTATCACTATTGCATGTCATGTCATATATCCAGAACAGTTAATGTTGGTTTGTTAATAATCATATTCTAATGGATATGTATGCTCTAGGGGTGATAATGGAGAACTACGAGTTGGGGTCAGACGGCTTGTTCGCCAGCAGAGCTCAATGCCATCATCGGTGATATCAAGCCAGAGCATGCACCTAGGAGTCTTAGCTACAGCATCTCATGCTGTTACAACCCAGACCTTGTTTGTTGTTTACTACAAACCGAGGTTTGTCACATACATCTCTTTTCAATTATCCCGTCATCCTTATGCAAAGTAGAGATCATTTTCATGCCAGAGAACATACTAAATCTTTTCTGCTGTGACAACCTTCAGAACCACTCAGTTCATCGTAGGCCTCAACAAATACTTAGAGGCTGTTAATCATGGATATTCAGTTGGCATGCGATTTAAAATGCAGTTTGAAGCGGAAGAGAATCCTGATAGAAGGTAGTGATATCAATTACTCCCTAGCTCCATTTTGATTTATTTGTCTTACTTTGCTTTTTAGTCTGTTTAAAAAGAATGCATCTTTCCCTTTTTGGCTTTAATTCAACTTTCCACTTGACATCTTTCTTAAATTCCGTGTCAAGTTAAAATCAGCAAATAAATTGAAATGGTGGGAGTATTCAGAAGTCCTCCAATTAGATGTGGAAGTCTTTGATCAAGATGTTTATTTGCCAACTGCTTAGTTCTGACATGTATTTGTTTTTTCTTGGGCTCTTCCCTTGTTATTTCTCAGATTTATGGGCACTATAGTTGGGGTTGATGATCTTTCCTCACAGTGGAAAGATTCTGCGTGGCGATCCTTGAAGGTTGATATCTTTGTTTGAACATTTATATTTCAGCAATATTCTTTAAGTTCAGTTGGTAATCACCAATTCTCCCTTCGTTCCAGGTTCGATGGGACGAGCCTGCAGCCATTGCAAGGCCTGACAGAGTTTCTCCTTGGGAAATCGAACCTTATGTGTCTTCAATTCCAAATGCCCTTGTCCCACCAACCGCAGGGAAGAACAAAAGGCATCGGCTACATAGTGAAATCAAAATATCAGGTCTGAATGAAAATTCTCAACAGCATTGTGTTTTTTCAAGTGTTGGTTGCTGATATTTTAAGTTCCATTTTCATTTTCTTAATTATCTTGCCTTCTTTTCCTGTTAGAACCTGCATCCTCAATTGCGTCAGCGGTTTGGAATCCTTCCCTCGACTCGCCTCAGTTTAACACCTCTGGCATCAACAGCAGTACTAATTGCACATTAACGTCTCGCACAGAGAGTGGTTGGCCGCTTCCTCATTTAAATACTTCAGGTATGCTTGTGGATGAGACAGAAGACAGTAGAAGTGCTTCAACTTGGTGTGGTTTTCCATGCGTTTTGGCCCCGCAATTCGGTCAAGGGACTAATCAGCCGATTGTTATTCCTACTGATGAGAGAAAATGTAATACCAAAACAACCTGTAGATTATTTGGTATTGACTTGAAAAAAACCTCAATTAGCACTACTGAGGCACTACTACCGCCACAGCCAGCCGACATTTCTCGTGTCTCCGCAGAGAGAGCACCTCCAAACATGGTGCCTGCTGGTGATTCAGATCAAAAGTCTGACCTTTCAGTAGACTTCAAAGATCAAATGCAAGGCCATTTGCGGTTACCCCTAAAGGAGGTTCAAAGCAAGCAGAGTTGTTCCACCAGGTCTCGCACAAAGGTATTAATCAAAAGCCGAAAAATTGCATTCTTACCAACTCAGTTTCTCCTCAAAAGATATTATTAATATCTCTAACATCTTTTCTCATGTGGAATCCCTTGAGAAGGTGCAAATGCAAGGCGTAGCTGTAGGTCGTGCAGTGGATTTAACCATATTGAAAGGATACGATGAGCTTACAAAGGAGCTTGAGGAGATGTTTGAAATCCAAGGAGAGCTTCAGTCACGACAGAAATGGGGGATCTTGTTTACAGATGATGAAGGGGATACGATGCTTATGGATGATTATCCGTGGCAGTAAGTTCTCTCTCACTTTAACAATTCAAGACTGAAATACATATATAACCACTGCATAAGATCTTTGCTACATCCTGTAATTTAACACGTCGCGTATCACTTAATTGCAGAGACTTTTGCAATGTGGCGAGGAAGATTTTCATTTGTTCAAGTCAAGATATGAAAAAATTGACCCAGTCTCGCGCAGACAGTTAAGTGACTCCTTTCAAATGAAATGATGGCGGAAGATGGTGAAAGTTAAGACTCCGCCTTTTGAAGTTGTATCATTTTGTGATCTCTTCGACTTCATTCTCCAGATATAATAGGAAAGAACGACAGGGTGTTGACATAGCAAGGCGTAGAAGCTTGTTTTTACGCTCTTTTTAGCCTAGTTCATGCTTGGTTTTGAGAGCAGTTAAGTAACTAGTTATAATAGGATAAGACTAGTAAAGATATAGTACTGGAAATTGTAAAAAGTTAACGGTGTTCTCTAATGGGGAGTCTAGTAGTGGTTTGTGTAGTGTTCTATTCGCGCGTTAACCTGTAAATACTCATGTGTCATTGCAGTATTCTGCAATGTATCGTCTTGTTAGCGTGCTTCATCTTAATGAAAACTCCATGGTGGAAATTGCTCTATACTTGCCCTTTCTGTGAGACTTGTGATGCACAATAGGGATTTCTTGTGTAAATTTAGACTCTTTTGGCACATCATGCATCACTTTGTAAGTTTTCCCCTTTACTGAACAAAAAATCTTCAAAACGCTCCTTCACGTGTGTGTTTTATTCTTTGCTAAAGGGTGATGCTAAGATTTAAATTCGATATCATTTTCTTTACTAAAAGGGTGACAATAAGACTTGAAGGATGTTAAATTATGTGCTCTCTTTATTTAGAAGTTTAATAAGTTTTTGATTCATTAATTGACTTTGGTTAAGATGTTGAGTGCAAAATAAATAAATGAATCAATATCCCTATCATAGCTAGGAAGAGTGTCCATATAGTCATGGGCCTCATGAGTTGTCAAATGTCATGTAAAGGTATTTGTCTTTGCATGAGTGCTATCTCACGCTCAAAACTTCTTTGTTATGAGTTTGAGTCGTTATGTTCTGTTTCCATGCTTAGCTTGAGTGATTTTCACTTATGATGTTATTAGTCATCCTCAATCTTATTGAATGGACTATGAAGGAGTTAGTCAAGTAACTCAGAGTTTCGATCGATTCACCTTCGCCTTCACTAATCTGAATTGTTCTTCAGATAATAAATATTCAATGTTCCATCTTCGGAAATCAACACTTTTAATGCTATTTGACGACTTGACGTACAATAAACTATATATGCCTAGTATGAATCTATACCCCAGAGGTTATAAACTCGTCGGATTTGTTGACCAAAATATCGATCATGACTTGATAAGGATGGATATTAACTCCATCTTTGTGGTATACAAAAATGTTAAATTCTTTCTCTAGAATTCAAAAAAAAAATGTGGATTAATTTGCCCACTTAATAGAAGGAAATGATAAAATAAGAAAAGAGAAACACAACAAAATACAAAAATATAATTAATTAATCAATCAATATTTGAGTGTGCCTTCTAATTGTTCAATTGAGAATCATGTAAAGGTATAGAAGGAATTGACACAATAAGAGTTTTGGGAGTTAACCAATCATTTTCTAGTGCATATATCATAGGAGATTTAGAAAAATATAAAAATGAGTGGCCATGGAGGTTTGATATTCGATCTGATTTTCTATGATTTACATTAAGTGACATAAATTAAAGATAAATTATTGACAACTTCGTAGTTCTTGGAGTATAAAACACACCAACATTGACTTCTTGGAGTGGGCATGAATGGTATGATTTTCGAGTCGATTTCCTATGATTTATGATAAGTGGCTTAAATTAAAGATAAATTATTAACGATTTCGTAGTTATTGGAGTATAAAACACGCTGACATTGACTTCTTGGAGTTTAGTAATCATAATTTTTTTTTAATCTCCTCGATCAACTTCTTGATTTTAGTAGTAATCCATCCATTAAGGTACATTCATGACTTGATGTGTTCGATTTAATATTTATTGTACTGAAAAAATTATGAATTTTAATCTAACATTTGTTGCGATTTTTTCGTGAATTTTACATATAGATCTATGATCAACATAAAAAAAATATTGATTTAGATAAATTTGGTATCGAAACACTACTACTTCATAATAACCTTAAGTCATATTTGATCATGACCTATATGTATAATTTAACTTATAAGGGGTTCTAATTGAACAGAGGTGGATATAGGGCCCATATATGAACTTACGTAAATTTAATAACTTTTGTTAAGATCATATTTAACAATGAATTAAGTTCTTATTGTAATATTAACTTGAGATCGTTATAAATTATATGTATATATATAATTTCCTCTCGCTTAATACAAACACAAACACATTTTATCCATTTGTGTTTGTATAAAAGCGAGAGAGGGCGAGCGAGACTGCCACCAAACGAGAGTGGCGAGCGAGATTCCACCAGGGAAAGTGGCGAAAATAGCAATAGTTTGCTATAGGGTACAATTAAATCAAAGTATATTTATAGCATTTAATTTGAATTAATAGTTTGTTATTATATACAATTTTCCCTTATAAAATTCATAAACTTTAAATCTTAGATCCATCTCGATCTATAACTGGCCATCCTTTGTGTGTTCTCTATAGCAACTGGCTAGGAGTATAAAATACATCCCTTATAACAAAAAATTGGAATAGCCACAAACTTCGTAGCTAACATAACTTTTTAATTATCTGTCGCAAGTAAAATACTTAGAATTAGCTATAACTTTTATTATTTAGCTATAAAAGTCATTCACTTTGTTCTATTATATTATTATTATTATTATTTAATATTAATATCTTGGATATGAATATTTTTAGTATTCCATTTCGAACGGCACATGGTTGAAATTGTTTTGTTGGTCACCAATCACCATCACTTATATTTTATGGCTATTAATTATGTCATATCACTCACTAATCAATGTAGTTAAACAGTAGCGAAATTAAAATTTTCATCAAAATATTTAAATTTTAACTAAAATAACAGCAACGTAACCTTGTTAGTCAATTACTATAAATTGAATGACTTTTTGAGTTATTAATCATATCAAATGTAGACATATATGTTGTTGTATTTAAGTTGTATAATCTTAGGTATATTGTTTAAGTAGTTGAGAAAAGATCATTTATCATTCATTTTTTTAAAACCATTTATGTCAATTAGACATTACATTTATGAAAAGAGCATTTGACCAGTACCCTCCAAAAGGGATTTGTTGGAGATTCCAATTTCCAAATTCCAATTTACATGTGCAATATTGATTGGCATGATTACAATCACTAATTTTCAATCAGGTGTTAGAAATAGAAAGATACTGATTATTTAGGTGTTAGAAATTGAAAGATATTGATTATTTTTCAAAGACAAGATCAAAAAGTGATTGTATATTAAACGTACTTCTCTTTTTCATACGTCTTTAGAAGAAATCATCATAGAAAAAATTAATTTAGTTAGTATTATTTTTTTAAGCTGTAAAAAACTAGTAAAAGAATGAATCAATAAAATTGCCTTGAAAGCTATATCTACGACAATTAATGCTTGTAAATTTTAAATTCCATTTTCTTAATACATTGTGACAAAACATGATATTCTTGTTGAGGTATATATGGTCAAGAATACAAGAACAAGAATACAAAGAATCTCATTATTTTATTTAACAAATCAACCTAATTCCACCTTTTTAATTATTTAAATGTAAACTTATTTTTAAAAAGGTCTTCATTTTATCTGAAGAGATTTTTTATAAGTATAAAAATGTAATAGCATTTTTTTTATAAAAAAAATAACTAACTACACTTTTGATACGTGCTTATAGAGTTCTCTTTCTTTCTCAAATTTTGTACACAATTAACATAACCATATAATATCAAAGTGAGGAGGTAGCTAAAATATATTTATGGGGTAAACTATTGTACACTAACAATGCATATAACATAAATTTTAAATGAAAATTAATTTAAAAACAGCCCTTTCGGCTGTAAAATCTATATGATTACAAACATTAAACTTTCATATTAGTTTATGAAATTCAAGAGTAATAGAGGACAAGTGAGGCCAAAGCATGCTCAGATTGTTAAACATCTTTAATATTGATCGATAAGTTAAGAATTTGAATCACTCAAAAAAATATTTATTATCTTGAGAATAAGGTGAAGAAGAAAATAAAAATTAAAAAGAGAAATATTGAAATACAAAATAATTATTTAAAGACGTATACCAAGTAATATAACAACTTCCTCTTACAAAAGAATAAAAAAATTCAAACCCCATCTTCAAGTTCAAACAAAATTTCAACATCCATTATTTTTTTCTTAATTTCCACTTCAAGTACTTTTTTAATACATATTAAAATTCAACTAAAATACTGTCCATACACCAACTACTCCATTTGTTCATTTTCATTTATTCCGTTTCGACTTTACCCACATTTAAATTAAAAAAAAATTGACATAAATATTATATCACAATATCCCAGTAGCACTTCTAAATATCTTCAAGAGTTAGTTTAGAAGAAACTATTTTCACTCAAAAAACTTTAAACTATTTCTAAGTAAAATACACGTTCAAACACTACTTCAAAAATTCAAAATTTTACTTAAATTTCAAGATTCAACTTCAAAATCTATAATCAGCTTAGTCTTAGATCTTGAAAATGATTCGAAGAATAAATACCTAATGTAGAGATAAGAGTAAAACATGAATAAAATATGTTTTTCTCAATCTTGATACAGCAAAAATAATAAATAAAAATGAAAAATATATTTTTAAATATAATGAACACGTAAAATAAACGGAGGGAGTATTTTGGAATCCTTCCTATAAATAGCACTCCTCTCACTACAATAGTCTATCACTCCATCATCTACACTAATAACACACTTCAAGCAAAAATGGAAACCACCACCACCTCCGCCGCCGTCACCACCACCGTTAACACCGGCGGTCTTCACTCCGTCGAGGTGAATCCACGACACCACATCCTCAACCGCGCATTTGCACTTATTTACCTTTTTGCCATCCTCGTTATTTTTTATAACCATATACTAAAACTCCTAAATTCTACAAATTCCTTTGTAACTTTCTCCATATCATTTTCCATTTTAATTTCAGATTTAATCTTAGCCTTCATGTGGACAACTATTCAATCTTTTCGTATGCGTCCACTAACACGTCAACAATATCCCGAAAAAATAACAAAAAACTTTAGTAACGAAATTAATAATTTTCCAGCATTCGATATATTTATTTGTACGGCAGATCCCTATAAGGAGCCACCGTTAAACGTCGTTAACACGGCGTTATCAGTTATGGCCTATGATTATAATCCGATCGAAAAAATATCGATTTATGTATCGGACGATGGAGGATCGGAGCTTACGTTATTTGCTTTTATGGAAGCTGCAAAATTTGCTGTATATTGGTTGCCTTTTTGTAGGGAAAATAAAATAATTCAAAGGTCTCCAGACGCATATTTCAACTCTAATTACACAGAAAATTCTGAGACAAAGAAAATCAAGGTATGTTTTTTTTTCTCGAATATATATTATATTACTACTAAACAGAACGTCTTCTAGTGATTTTTTAAAATTAATAATAGAAAATTAGTTGATTTTCAATAATACTAAATCATGGTTATAATGTTTTGATTTTTCAAAAATATCTTAACGTATATGTCGGATATTCCTTCAAAGATATATTATTACTATTTCGATATAATGATATTTTTAAGAATTCGAGCAACATAGGAATACGAGATTTTTGGCACGGTTATTTCTGCAAGCATGCATGTGCGATGTACATTTAATTTATATATTATAGCCTGCGTTTCAGATCTGGCTAAGTTTATTTATGCGATATTTTGGTAAATTTGTTGTCTAGCAATTATTGATAAAGGGACATAGAGGTTTGGTACGATTGATTTTATGGTCTATTATAAATATTATATTTAGTTATATTATGTGGTCTTTTCTATAAGATGTCGGGTCCCAATTTAATATATATGTGGTAGTTTTCACTTTTCGAAAGCTGATTTGTTTAATATTTGAAGTTGAATTAAATTTGATCAAACTAATATTAATTAAAATTTATAAGATATTCAAAATATATACAATAATACTGTATGTTGAGAAAAAAATATAAGTACTTTATAAAAATGTTTATCAAAGTTCACAGAGTTTCAAAAATTGAAAAGTGTCACATAAATTTAAAATGAAAGAGTAATATGTAACATATGAGATCGTAAAAAATACATGAAATCTTTATAAAATCATTTTCTTCTATTTAATTAAATATAATTTGTGATAGGAAATCATAATTCTGGCTAAGGGAAATCACGAATAGAATATTTGTTTATCTTACACGATATCTCGTATTTCTATATATTTTCGTTCTTCAAGATTCAAATTATGCCGTATTTTAGTCAATATTTTAAAATATAATTGTACAAGAAGATAAACAACTTGCACTTTGATTGACTAGTATCTGGCCTGAGTTAATTTCACAATTATCTGAACATATTTTATTAGACATTTATTTGTCATTTTGTTTTTTGAATTCAATCTTTCTGACGTTATAGCTAAGACAAAAAAAACAGATATTTTCTTTAATTTGTCATTATTCATTAATTAAAAGTAGCAAAATAACTAAACTAGAATATATAAAATGCTCATATGTCATTTTTTGTTATATAATGTATTTGACTAATAAATCTAGCCAATAATATTGTCCACAACTCTTTTAAGAAAATCTTATATTATTTTTAAAATGTCATAAAGCCTTTTACTGTGATATGCTAGAATCTTTATCTTAGGTTATAAAAGAAAAACAAATTATTATTTTTCCTAGGTATATACATACGTGATATAATTTTAACATAAAAAAATATATTTTCACTTATCTTTCAACGTGACTCAAGCTATTATATTATTTATCTTATTTCCGATCGAACTCAAACTTTATGAATTTTATATTATATGTGTAGTTGATGTATGAAAACATGAAGAAAAGAATAGAAGAAGTGATTGAAAGGGGAAAAGTGGATGAAGATTATATTAACAATGAGGAAGAACTTCAAGCTTTTACCAAATTTTGGACGCCTGAATTTACTCGTCATAATCATCCTTCTATTATTCAGGTAAATATATATATCGTAACAATTCAATTCACTTGTGATATTGTCATTTTCAACATAATTCTATATGATCTTAAAATATATTTCAATATTTTGTTATTATGAGACTTTGTCTAATTTTAAAATGTGTCACTATAAAAAGTACAAAAATTACTAATTAGCTATTAATTTAAAGTGCTTAACACATGTTGCCAAAGAGACTAATTTGCGTTTGATTGTAAACATGTTACTTAAGATCATATGTTTGGTGATTAATTAGGTAACATCATATATTTAACTTATCCTTTAATCAAATTGGTTGGTGTAGGTTTTGTTAGAAAGTGGCAAAGATGAAGACATGACAAGTCATGGGATGCCAAATCTTATTTATCTTTCAAGAGAAAAAAACAAGAGTTCCCCTCATCATTTTAAAGCAGGTGCCCTCAATGCATTGGTAAGTAAAATCTCATCAATTTTATTTTAAAAAAACAATTTATTTATTTATAAAAATTATTTTTACTAATAGTGTAAATATCTTTTAATAAAATTAAGGAAAAAAGGGTAAATATATCCCTCAACTTGATTTGAAATAAATTCCTCTATCATTTAACAAATGATACATATATCAACGATCAGTAAAAATAAGTATATATCTACTCAGTTTTTGTGGGTTTTTTTACTTTAGTCTATTAACGAAAATAATTAATATGCATTGTTTATTAGTGGCGAAGGTATATACGTACTAAATTGCAGAGTTAAGGAATATATTTGTCTCTTTTCCCTGTAATATTTACACTTGATGTTAATATCTTCGAGTATATTCATCATTTTTTCAGCGAATGATATATACGTTCTAAACATCGAAGTCAAAAGGATTATATTTGCCTCTTTTCCCTAAAATATTATCGAATTGATTATTAATATCTTCTTGTGATAGCTTCGAGTATCGGGAATAATGACAAATGCACCAATAGTATTGACACTTGACTGTGATATGTACTCTAATGATCCATCAACACCTCAACGGGCTTTATGTTACTTCTTGGACCCAACATTACGGCCCAATTTAGCCTACGTTCAGTTTCCTCAAACTTTTCATGGGCTTAACGAAGCAGATATTTATGCAAGTGAGATAAAAGGCCTGTTTTTTACTAATCCAATAGGCATGGATGGGCTTAATGGGCCTAATTATGTTGGAACTGGATGTTTTTTTCGTCGTCGAGCTTTTTTCGGAACTCCATCTACATTCGAGCAGCCCGAAATTCCAGAACTGTTTCCGGATCATGTTGTGAATAAGCCCATTCAGGCCCAAGAAATTTTGCGGCGAGCCCATTATGTAGCGAGTTGCAACTATGAGAGTGGAAGTAACTGGGGTTCCAAGGTGAGCTTTAGTTTACATTGCACTAACAACTTTTTTTTCGTGGCAATTGGTTCGAATTTGCCATGTGATATTTCTAGTATACATGGTAAATTCGAACTAATTCCCACGAAAAAGAATAATTGCACTGGTAACTTCTTCGTGGCAATTGGTTCGAACTTGTGATATATGTTAGATCATGTTGCCACGAAAAAATTGCTAGAGCCGAAGGCAACAAGTTCATAAGTCAGTAACTGTGGTGTATAATATATGTATAATCCGTGTTTAATATGTATATAATCAGTATAATCAGTGTATACTCTATGTATACCAGATAGAAAAAGTAAACAATGAATCCGTATGACTAACAATTTCAAAATTATGCAGATGGGCTTTAGGTATGGATCACTTGTTGAGGATTACTATACTGGTTATAGGCTTCAATGTGAAGGTTGGAAATCAGTATTTTGCAATCCTAAAAGGCCTGCATTTTTAGGAGATATACCAATTTCTCTCTATGATGTGGTCAGCCAAAACAAGAGATGGTCTGTGGGCCTTCTTGAAGTTGCTTTCTCAAAATATAGCCCATTAACTTTTGGGGTTCAGTCCATGGGCCTTGTTATGGCCCATTGTTATTCTCACTATGCATTTTGGCCCATTTGGTCAATACCACTTACTCTATATGCTTTCATCCCTCAACTTACTCTTCTCAATGGGGTTACCATCTTTCCAAAGGTATGCACCAATTCATTTTGGTCCTTTTTGATATATGACTCACCATATTTAACGTTCAATTAATTAAGTTATGTGTTTCGATTCCCTTTGATGTAGAAAATATATCATATTATCGTCATATAACAAAGTAACACTACATATGTAGACATAACACATGACTAATTAAGTGGTGGAACGACTAATCTTATGGTAAATTTGTGGATATTGACAAGCAAATGAATAAAAAGTGTAATTGTTTTTTTGAGGTTTAATGCTTTTTTTTAATATTCATTTCAGGTTTCAGACCCTTGGTTTTATTTGTATGTTTTTATGTTCCTCGGAGCTTATGGACAAGATTGCTTGGTTTTTATGTCTAATGAAGGGACATTTAAAAGGTGGTGGAGTGACCAAAGAATGTGGATGATAAGGGGATTAACATCTTTCCTATTTGGAACAATTGAGTATTTAACTAAACACTTGGGCATATCGACACAAGGGTTCAATTTAACAAGCAAAGTAGTCGATAATGACCAAGGTAAAAGGTACCATCAAGGAATTTTCGAGTTTGGGGTTGTTTCACCTATGTTTGTGATACTAGCAACAACATCAATCATCAATTTAGTAGCATTTCTCAAATCATTAGCACAAATATTCAATGGTGATCGAAATTTGGATGGAATATTTATCCAAATGTTTATTGCTGGTTTTGTTGTTATTAATTGTTTGCCAATTTATGAAGCTATGGTTTTGAGAAGTGATAAAGGAAGAATGCCTACAAGGGTCACTATTTTTCTCAACATTTCTTGCTTGTACTCTCTATATGGCATTTGCTTTTCTTCTAGGAAATATGTAATAGCAAAGTTTTTTTTAAAAAAAAAAAAAAAAACTTTGGGACTTTCTGTTATTGATCTTGTAGTCTTATTTCTTAGTTTAGTTAAGAAGCAATATTACATTTAGTTGAAATATTCAAGAATAAAAGGATTATAGAAATCTTATAGAATGTTGTAATTCTTTATATTTGGTGTATGTGAATCAAGTCTTGTTTTTTGGAGATTAATAAGTGATTTTTTTTTCAAATTTTGATTTTCTATATCAACAAAAAAAAATCCGTCCATGTTCTAACAAAATTTCAATTTCATTCTTTCGGTCATATGTCTTATCAAAACTAAAAAAAGATTGTCATATTTAATGTCATTCTAAAGTTGTATCTATAAACTATATATACTCTAATATGCAACACTTTTGTGTGCCTTACAAATTCCAAGAAATGCAACAAAACTAGGTAGTCCTTCAAATTCTCCTTTTCTTTAAAAGGAAAACTTGGATCATTTCTCGATTTGTGTGAGTCATTTTTGTGCAGGGATCACACAGATCTTCTCTGTATCATTTCAATTTTATCTGCAATTGACATTCATGTGTCAGGAGCCTTATCAATGTTGATAACATGAGTTTCTACATTTGAAAAATCTCTCTCAATATTGTCAACAATGCTAGATGATGAACTACTAGCACTAGACAATTCTTCAACTATCACCACCACATGTTGCTCATGCTCCTCTCTACTAACCGTTATATCGTGGTGTTCCCTTTCCTCCTCGATGACACTCGAAGGGTTGTTATTAGAAGGTGGTTGTTGTGGAGGTTGCGGTTTTTTGTTGGTAACAAGGACATGGCATCGACAGAGTGGACAAGAGAAATTTGAACGAAGCCAATGGCGTATGCATTCAACATGAAAAATGTGCTTACAATAAGGTAGTTGGTGTAACTCCTCTTTGATCTCAAATTCTCCCAAACAAACACAACACCTGTGAAATTTTTCGTCGTAATGTTAGTAAATAACAATACAACAACAACATCTCAGTCTCAAACTAGTTAGGATCGACTATATATATGAATCCTCTCTGTTTCATTTTAGTACAGAATGATAAGTAAAACAGATTTCTTGAAGTAGACATGTTACCATAACTAGTTTTACTTCTTTTTATTTCACATAGATTTCAAGGGCAATAGCTTTTTCGAGACCAATCCCAACAATATCGAGATTGAAATGAAATTCTAGTTAGACCCCACATCCACTTTCTTGGAACTAACTGATAGGCATTTAGTTTTTTGTAGAACAAGTGGAAAATGATATGCAACTTTAATCGAGGTAAAAAGGTGGAGCACAAAAGCCCTCCACCCCACCAAAAAGTAAAATACTTGGTGCTTGCCCGTGACATATAAGGCATGCTTTTCGTGATTACTATGAAATAGATGTCAGTCAACTCATCATTCATCAGGAACCGGAAGGATACAACATCACTCTTGGAAAAAAAGACGAGAGAATCCTCCCTTTAATTTTGACTATCCTAGGCTAGAGGACTTGACGGACCACTTCAGAGGACGGGAGGAAAAAACATGAATTTGACAAGTAACACAAACAAAAATTTAAAAGTTTTAACTTACTGAGAATCCTTCATCATTGAATCTTCATCAAATAGTATAACAGGAAGCTTATAATTCTTGAGCATCCCCTTTGCATCTACATCACCCTACAAAACAAGAAAAACTTTTCATGGTTTCTTGAAAAAACATGAAAATTCAAAGCTACGTTGTTTCAGACTCTCCAAAAACGATCTTTTACTCATGTTACATCCTTCCAAAAATAACACTACTATTTTAAGAGGATCCAACATATCAATCAATATTTTTGAAGAGTCTGAACAGAAAAAGAAATCAAGAAGAGAAACTAACATGAATAATAACTTGATTTGAACTTCTTGGAAGTATAACAAGAGGGGAATTAGAACCAATAGAAGCTCTTCTTTTGAGATAAAACAAGTAAAACAAAAGAAACAAGATTATAGAAAAAAGTATTGGAATTGAAAAAATGAAAGCTTGATAAAGTTTAAGTTGAAGTGCTTGAGGATACAAATGAGGTGGACTAGGAGATTCAGGTACCCCCATTGAATTTTTTTTTAAGTAGACACTTAAAACTAAGTTTAATGAAACAAAAAAAAGAAGAAAGATTATAAGTTATAAGCTTAATATGTATACATAAACCTTAGCTTATATAGCTTTTATATACATATCAAGATCAAGAAAATGATAAAAAAGGTGAAAAAAGGATGTTTTTAATTGAGATTTGAAAAATGTGAAGTGCTTTTTTGGAATCAAATTAAGTGATGAAAATTGTATGATTACTTTATTTACACTTTTTAATTGATGTGACTTGTTCATAACTTCCCACTGAGATTTTTTTAAATATATAAAAACGAAAAGGTCCCTCATTCCACTCTCTCATGTTTTCTAAATTTTTTTTAGCACAAGGTTCAATCATAGTTCTCCCACTGGGAACAGATAAATAATGATAATTATAAACTTTGTCACTTACCTTATCGATATATCATTTGAAAATCATAGGATTGCATAGTGTTCCAAATATCTTAATTTTACCTAATGTTACATTAGGGACCATTCATACTCTTGTTGTTAGTCCGTCCTCTCGTAATTTCTGATTTTAATTTTAATAACATTTAAAATAAAGTAAACTTCACGATGTCAAAATATTTTGGTTAAAAAATTAAGACTCACCCACTACTTCATCGATCCATTATACTTCAAAGAACAACTTTCACATATAGCAAACATAAAAATCATATTTATATGTTATAACTATAGTTTGCATAATTGCGCTCCATAACAAATTTTATGTTTGCTATGGAGCTTTTGATTTGTATAATTCGCTCGATAAATCCAATTTTATACAAATTGTTCAGTTTTGTATAAATTCATTTATACATTATAATTTGTATAATAAGATTTATATTTGTATAATTATAAGTGTATAGGACGCAAATATATGTATTTATATTTGTATATACACTTTTCTCTCGCTTTATACAAACACAAACACATTTTGTACATTTTATACATTTGTATACCGAATGGGTAATTGTATATCGAAAATGGCTAATTGTATACCGAACCAGATGACAAAAAGGGATATTTGCTGCGAATTACAAATAAGATAAACTATGACTATAACATTTAATTTGAATTAATAATTTGCTATTTCATACAATTTTTCCTATTTGAAATTAGAACTTTGTTAGGATAAAAAAACAAATACGATAGTAACTAATTATTGAAAAAAGTATAAATAGTTCTTAAGTATAAAAAAGGGTGAAATTAAGATATAGATGTAATTCAATTATTATCTTTACACTTTACACTAAAGTAAAAACAAATATCTGTCTTTCTTACAAGTCATTTCACTTTTGACAAGACTCCCACACAAAACAAGTTTTATTTTTTTTATGATTTGTTTAGAAAGTTTGATAATCAATCAACTTCATTAGATAGTCATTAAGGTGGTGAGCACTAATCAAATAAGCCTGACAACTTTCAAAATCTCATTGGAAATGGAAGATAAAAAAAGTGTTTTTTATATAAAGTTAAGCTCGTTTAATTTGGTCAAGCTTTTCAGAAATCTAAAATATTTTTTTATTTATTTTAAAATATTTAATTTTAAAAAAATTGAGATAGTTAGTTTTAGTTTTAGTTTTAGTGAAAACAAGAATTTGTGTTGATAATAGAGAGCATGAGCAAGTACCTTATTGAAAAGCGTATATAAACTTACACTCAATAATTTTCTTTTGAAGAAATTATCTTTAATTGAGTACTTCCTAATAACTTATGTTTAGCCAAGCTTGCAGAATATTGAAAATATACTTTTGAACAGTAGTGATTTATATTTAACTAATTAATTAGAATAGCATTTTGTGCTTGATTAAACCCCTTTAAAAAAGCTACTTGTTTCTCAAAAATACTTGTTTTTTTTCTCTAAAAGTGTCACATGTAAATAAATTATTTATTTTTATCTAAATTCTAATTTAGGGGTGGACGTTCGGTTTTTCGGTTTGGTTTAATCAAATTTCAGTTCGGTTTTTCGATATTCAGTTTTAGAAAAGTGTGCATCATATTTCATACCAAACTAGATCGGTTCGGCTCGATATTTTCTACTTCGGTTCGGTTTAGTTCGGTGTTTTTAAATCGGTTTTTCGATGTGAATAAAAATAAAGAGGGAATATGATAAAGTGTTAAGAGTTTCATGTGTTTAATTTATAATTAAGAAGACGCTGCATAGATGATTCTTTAACTAGAAGAATTCAAATTTTGTTTCTGTTTCTAGCAAAAATGCCAAAGAATTTGTTAATTAGATGGATTATTCACCCTCCTATGTTGCTACAGAGATGACCAACTAAATATACAACGACAAAATCAACAAACATATGCAGATAAATGGTAAAGAGCACACAGCAATTATCTTTACTCACAAAACAAGGTCTACAAAGACTCGTCCACACATTTTTATTTTTTTTAAAAAAAAACAACACCATCAAACGGCACTATCTCTGTGGATACACGATTCAACATATTCAAAACATAGACTTTAGGTCTTTAAGGTTTGCACTTTACTGATTTGTCATTTAAAAATTGAAATGTGCTAGGTAAATATTTTGAGTCAAAATATATAAGTATTATTAAGTAATATAATTTAAATATTTTTAAATTTATTTAATAAAACTTCAATTCTTTGGTGCACCGTAATTTTGGGACCCTTACACTGAACTCCGAACCGAAGTTTCAAAAATAAAGAGTTGACACCGAACCGAAACACTGAAGAACCAAAATAGTTTAATTCGATTTAGTTTTTCGGTTTTCCGGTATTTATGCCCACCCCTAATCTAAACATTTGGAATTTATTGCGTTTGGCATCAACAAAAATGAGTGGTTCTTCCACAAACTACACTCAAAAGTGTTTTTTTTTTCTTCACATAAATGAACTTTTTCTTATCTAGAAAATACCTAGCAATATATT